CATGAAAAGGATATAATAGTGTTAAAAAAGGTGTTCCTAAAATTACTGGAGTAGTCATATTTTTTATTAATATAAATGATGTATTGTAACAAATTTTATTTTTACAAATTTTTACGTTTGATAATTTATATTGTATATTCATTTTAGATCCATTTGCACTAGATACTTTTTCTAAAGTTTTTTCATAATATTGAGTCGAAATTAATCCTTCTTGAATACAATTTATATCAGCTCCTGAATCTAATAATGCTATAATTTTAAATTTTTCTTCTTTTATTATTAGAGTTATTTCAGTATGCCATTTATGGATTGTCATTAGATTTAATAGGCTAATATAATTTTCATCTTCTATTTTATTTGAACTTTCTCCTTGTTCTTCTTGAATTTTTACTAAATTCTTTCCTTCTAATTCTATAATTCTATATTCTAACGAAATATCATTTTCTTTTAAGGATTGAATTTCTTGTTTAAGATTTTTAATTTCTTCTTGTAAATCTTTTATAGTTATTTGTTGACTAGGTCCTTTAAACCTATTATAAATTTCTTTCATGCTAATAGGATTTATAGGTTTTTGTACTTCTTCACTTCGATTTACTAAATCACTTAGTTGTTGTAAAAATTCTGTTTTTAATGGTGATTCTTCTAACTTATCTATTATCGAAATTAGGGTTGATGTTTGGTCTTTTGTTAACATATTAATATTTTTACAATCTTGACAGCTACATAATTCTGGACCTAAACAGTAATTATTTTCTTCAGAACTTTGTTCTTCCGTAGAAGATTCTAGTTCTAACTGTTCTAATTCTAATTCATTATCTGTATTTTCTGAACTATTACTCGTTTCTTCTTCTTCAGAATTTATTAAAATATTTAATAAGCTTTCTTTTAATTTTTCATCTTCTAACTGATTTATCTTTTTAATTACTTTACAATTGTTAGCGTAATGACCCATTTTTCCACATTTCCAACAAGTATTTTTCTTTTTATTTGTTTTATTATATTTGGGTTTTCTTGTCCATTGTTTATTTTCTATATTTTTATTTTCAGTTTTTTGTGGTTTATTATATGTTTTTCTAAAAGGCTTTCTATATGTTTTTTCTTGTTTTTTAATTATTTTCTTCTTTCTAGAACTAGGAGCTCTTATGGGTTCCATGCCATATTGATAACAAAAATTTCCTATTTCTCTTTTATTTATTGTACTTTCCTTTCTAAGTTTATTTTGTAATTTAAAGTCAGTACATACTTGAATGCCAGTTTCTACAATTATATTATGAATTTGACCATAAGTTAAAGTATCGTATGACAAAGGTTTTCCATAATGATTTTCTAAATTTAATTTTACTTTTTCTGAAAATAATTTAGGTAATCCTGCGAGAAACCGTTCCTTCCAGAATCCTGCAAATCCATCTTCTCTAAGGGTTATTTTTGATAGGAAGTTATCTTTATACCATCTATAGTCGGACATAGTCGGACAATATAGATTAGCTAATTGGCTTACCGTTCTTTCTTTAAAAACATTAGGGTCTCCTACAAAGTTTTGTATTATTGAATAAATTAGTGTTGCTACAACATCTTCTTGATTAGTTTCTGTCTTTATACTATTTAATATTGATAATTTATCATTTTCTGTGCAGAAATTATCCCACCAGCCTTTCAATTGGCCAGTGAATCCTTGGATTATTGCTATTGCTGCTGATTTATCACTACAGCCTTTTGCCTTATGGGCAGTAGCGGCCATAGTCATTTGACAAGTTAAATCTAAAATAGCCTGTTCACTTAGACCATCTAGATTCCATTCAGTTATGTCATTTCACGAGAACGAATTTTGTATTAACTCCCCCTTTCTTCAAATTGTATATCTGCGAAAGTGGGTCTATTATAATAATTTCTAAGTTTTGGATATTTTGTTTTTAATTTATTGACTTCTATTGTATTAATGGATATATTACCTATCTGATCTATTTTCTTTTTTAATTCTTCTATTTGTATGTCGGTATTACTTCTTAATCGTAATGATTCTAATTCCTTTTGTGGTACATTAAATAATTTGTATATTGGTTTTACTGGTTCTTTTGAGCTACTGGGAACATCTTTTACAGATTTATTTTCTATCCTAGTTAATTGTTTAGACATTACATCTAATACAGTATTAGAATAATTTAATTGAGAATGTAATTTCTTTATATCTTTTAATTGTACTTGGTTTTTCTTCACTTTTAACATCTTTGTATGGACTAGCCTCTATTTCTAAATCTTTTACGGGATTTATTATTATTCCTTGTTGAGGTGGATATTCTGAATTTATTATTTCATTATTTATAGTTTTCCATGTATTGTTTATTTTTTCTAGTGGATTTATTTTCTTATTTTGGCTATAACTACTATAATTATAAAACCAATCAAAGAAATATAAATTTATCTCATTTTCCTCCATGTAATTATAAAATTCTTTCCTATAATCTTCTGTTTCTTTTTTACTAAATGTTTTAAAATACCATTCTCTATTTAATTTATTATATTCTGCTCCAAAATCTTCTCTAATCCAATTTTTATCTATAATAAAGGGTTCTACTCTTTCTATTACTCCTAATATTTGAGAGGTTGTTGGAGAATATTGTGGTGAATCAGATTTTTTAGATTCTTCATAAACAGAGTTTAGTTACTCTAGGAGAAATATTGTCTAATCCTCTTAAATCTAAATTTATCGTTGATCCATCTATAGAATGTCTTGACGATTGTCCTTTATATATCATATGGGGTTCTCTATTTTTAAATGATAATGACCTATTCATTCTTAATCTAATATTAGTTCCATCTTGTATTATTTCTCTAATTTGAGTATTATATAATTTAGGTTCTTCTATTATATCTTCTAATTTCCATTCTTCAGGAATTTTGCTAATTATTTCTTCATGACTTAATTTTTTAGGAATTTGAACCGATGATTTCCTAAGATTAGCCTCTACTAATATGGTCTCATCTTTAGGTGAAGATCTTAAAGCTTTATAATTATAATCTATTTTGGTTACTTTATAATAAACTCTATAAATTATTTGTATTGGACCGGACTCTTCATCTACAATTTCTTCTGGTGTTTGTACGTATAATTTTATTGCATTACTTGTCTTATCATTTTTAATATTCATTGAAAAATTAGGGTAACAGTTAAAGAATGCAGGACCATCATGTAAATTACTTTCTAAAATTGCAATTATTGAATCATTAAATTTCTTAAGTCTTATATCTCTTAATAACATTAAAATTGGGCTATTTATTCCTAATCTGTAATTAGGCTTAGCAGCTACTTGTATTAATCCTAAGTGTATAAAATTATATCCATCTTTAATATGTTTATCTAATATTGTTTGTTCTAATATATTTATGATTTTATTATTTCTTGTTCCTGGATAACTATATTCTACTATATGTATTTCATCTAAATTTGTTGACCAGAATTTATGTTGTTTATATACTTCGCATTTTTTAACTATAGGTATTGACCAGTTATGTAGTGAGTTTTCTATCTCAGCTATCTGTAATTCTTTTTCTTTATTTTCTGAGGAAGTTGAAGAAGAAGGCTCTTGTTGCGGTGTTTTAACTATTATTTGCTTATCTTTGTTTCTTAATCTTAAATCGCTTAAAGATCTAAGGATATTAGGCATCCTAACTCTCTCTCTGGTTTCCATGCTACGGGACCACCACTTTGCCTTACGGCCGATATGGCTGACCAACGGTCTTACTACCCCTCTCGGGCTTTACTGCCGGGACCACCAATCCTAAGGGTTGACCAACGTATAAGCACCTCTCAGTGCTACACGGATTCCTAAGATTAAGTTAAGAGTCCCAAAGACCCTTAAAACTTAAGGATTTAGGGTTAAGATTCAAAGCTAAACACCTAATAGTTCAAACTAAGCAACAAAGTGACCTATTTCCTCTAGCTTTCCTTCAAGATATTTAATATTACTTCGGTACCAAACTATGCACCAAGCATAATTGTTTGGATTTTCTCTTAATAATCTTTCTTTTTGGGCTATATGCCTTCTTAATTTTCGTTTAAGGTTTTTAATCTGTTTGGTTAATTCTATGGCTGGGTTTGGACTACTACTTGGACTTATACCTGGGGTCTTAGGGGTCTGACTATAAATCCTAAACCTGGAAGTGCTCCTTCCATGGGGATGAACTCTTCATTTTGATTTTGATTGTTCATTTTAAAATAGTACGTGGTGTTGTTACGAACTATCCCTGTAAAGGGGTTCTGCAGAGATTAGGCGTAAAAGGCCTCGCTCCGTAATTAGGATTCATAACAACCGAAAAATAAGTATATTGACTTGAAAAGTGGAGGACTAATAATAATAATAATAATAATAATAATAATAATAATAATAATAATAATAATAATAATAACAATAATAATAACAATAATAATAATAATAACAATAATAATAATAATAATAATAATAATAATAATGTTTATTAAAGTGGGTCTCTATCATGGAGGAGCCCAAGGGGTCAAGTGAAGTGAATGTGAATGAATAACGATGCAATCGAATTTAATATTAAGTTATGTCTCTCTCTAACATCCATCCGCATCGCATTCATGATTCACCCATACCATACCATACATGGTCCAAAATGGCAGGTCAATATTCCAATAAGAATGCCTGTGCCATCCCCATGTCACTATCGTCATCCATCCACGCTGTTTCACAAATTTTCATATCACGCACCTTTTCACTGTTTAAGGAGTAACAAATTTTCTCGCTATGTAAAATCTCCCAATAAGGGGGTTGAAATATTGAAGAAGAAGAAAAAAAAAAAAATCTCCCAATTAAAAACATTTTGTTTATTTCAATATTTTTTTAATGTCTATTGATTAATAAATAGTTTTCACTTAACTTAAACTTAAAGTAAACCAATTTTTTAATTTCTCCACTAAAAAAGTAAACTTAATTATAAACTCCCAACAAGTACGGTTACATGTTGACAAGTGCTTTCCACGTTTAGTCGCCGTTGTTGTGAACGTTCTCGCGTTCATCCTGTTCTGATACTTCACTCTAAACAACCTTTTTTTTTTTCACCGTTTTTATCATATGGAAAGCAATTTGGTAAAGGTTAAAAACATATTTAAAAAGTTTAGTTCGTCACTAACAAATTAGATCGTCAAATATTATATTTTTTCTGCTATAGTGTTTTATAAGGATCAATATAATGAAATTTCAAATATTTGACAGGCTAATTTAGTGATTAATTAAATCACAACCAATCACAAAACTTAAGCTTCACTCAAAGCTCACTTCTTTTTACAGAATAATTCTCCAACTTGTTTTGATATAATTTTGTACAATTAAATATTTGTAGCAGTACACGGTAATACGTCACTTTTATGTAATTTATTACAATGTGTATAACTATTATATCGTAATATATGAGTAGTAAAATACAACTTTTATGTTATAATTTGGAACATGAAAAAAAGGATGACTTTTTCAAATGTTTTAGATAAATAGAGTAAATGAAAATTCATGCAAGAGCTTTCATAGCTCAGTTGGTTAGAGCACCCGTTTAGTAAGCGGGAGGTCTTGAGTTCGACTCTCAATGAAAGCATAAATTTCCTTCCGTTAGTAGTCATTGTAATTTTTAATTTCATGAAGTTTTAATTATTATTCATGAAAAATTTCTGTTAAAATAATAACTTCTCTTACATTTTGTTTTTTCTTTTCACAAATAAAATTTTAGCCACATCTTTTGAATTTGCTTTTAATATTCTTGAAAGCATATATATCATCACCATATGGTTAATCATATTTAATCTAATCTTACTATTCTTATAATTTATATAGCTATTTTTGATTTCAAAAAAATGTAAAATAATTAAATTTTTTATAATCATTGGAAGTGAAAATTAAGTATAAATAATGCTAAACATTCTTTATTTCCCCATTTTTTTAGAGTAATAAATCAGAATCATTAGATAATAATAATAATATTTATTATTATTATTATTTATTAGCGATAAATTTCAATTTTTAGCTAACTTATTACTAAAAATGATAATTTTAGAATAGTATAACATATATACCTCGCTATCTTCAAATTGATTGAAAATCACAAGATTTTGAAAAATTGTGTCTAAAAAACTAGGGTTTTTTTTTATTGTCATAAAATCTTAGATTGAAACAAATATATGTAATGTGTTAAAATATAGATTTTTTAAATTTAGACTTATTTTTAAATTGAATACATAAAAAAAAAATAATGAAGGTTAGACGTAGAACATTCTACCAAGTTCCTCAGCCCCTTTCCCAAGTTTTTCAAGTCGCTTGATTATGCTAGCCACACTGCGACTCCCACTGTAACGTGACTCAAGCCAAATCATCTTCGCTCTCGCCGTCAATGGCCACCAGACGAACTCCGACGCTAACCAAATCGCTTTTCGCCGCCGTAACTGCTTCTAGAACTTCTCGCTCCCGCTCCGCGCGACGACTATTCTCCGCCATCACTCGTGCTTCGGAGAATTCTACGAATTCCCTTTCTCGGTCTCAGATAATCGACGCACTTGCAGCCAACAATGTCGCCTCCGCCAAGTTTCTCTCCCTCTCTTTCACCCGCAGCTTCCACGCCACCAATCCCTCCCTCCGCTCTGCTGCAAGCTCTCAGGTGTTACAAGTCGTTTCACACACTTTCGTTAATGCATTTATACCATTGTTACGTCACGAATTAGTTCCTCTTCGTCAAGCATTTGTTAAATTATCATTGATGATCAAGGAAGTTGAATTGGATGGTGAAATTTCAGTGTATAATGTATTGTGTTTTAATTGTTAGGTAAACTATTGCGATCATGATAAACTAAACTTCTCCATAATCACTTACAGGGAGGAAAAAATAATTATGAGAATGAATGAGTGTCCGTGTTAAGTTAAAATCAACTCATATCCTTAACTTTTATCGAAACTCTCTTGGTTAACGTCTGTAAAAGATGACTTGCATAAGTTGATTTTAGCTTTTATTTCTTGACGTTGGTTTATTTTATTTTATTTTTTTCTTTTTCGGTTTGTTAAACTCTCTCATTTTATTCTGTTTGGCTACTGAACAATGTATCAGCATAGCAATTCTTTAGACCCTGTGGCTGGAGAATAAAAATGGAAATTGATGAGTAAGTCTGTATGTCTTCTTTTTCTTCTGGTTTAAGATGTGTTGTTCTTATATATCAGGTAGCGCAGACAGAGTTCACAGATATGGCATGGGAGGGGATTCTTGGGGCTGTTGATGCGGCGCGGGTTAGTAAACAGCAAATTGTGGAGTCTGAGCACTTAATGAAAGCCCTTTTGGAGCAAAAGGATGGCTTGGCACGAAGGGTATTTACTAAGGCAGGATTGGACAACACGTCTGTTCTACAGGCTACTGATGATTTTATAGCTAAGCAACCTAAGGTGTGTTTTCTGGTGCTTTAGATAATAGATTTGTGTTGGTATTGTGGCAAATTCTTACATGCAGTTTTATTTGGCAGGTTACAGGCGACACTAGTGGACCTTCTATAGGCTCACATCTTAGCTCCCTCTTGGACAATTCACGTAAGTATAAGAGAGAAATGGGGGATGAATATGTGTCTGTGGAGCACCTTTTGCTAGCATTTTATTCAGACAAGAGGTTTGGGCAGCAGTTGTTTAAGAATCTTCAGCTTAGCGAGAAGACTTTGAAGGATGCAGTACAAGCTGTTCGCGGAAGTCAAAGAGTGACTGATCAAAGTACGAATCTATATTTTAGTGTTTCTTATTCTTCCAGAATGACAGGGGGACATGATCGTTTCCATCTTGTTAATAATTCAATAAAGTTGAAAACTGTTATAATTTAGAAATTAACTCAGAACCTAATTGTAGCAGAAGTATAGTAATATTAAGTTTGTTAGTATGACTAGAAAAAAGAGAGGATATTGATTATTTATGATTCTTACAAGCTAGAGTATAAAGGAACAAATAACCTTAGTAGTCAGTTATAAATTGGCATATTTGACTTTAATGTGCCTGTTGTTTCAATTGGCTTCTGGTTTTTACATTGTTTCTTTATGTTTGGTCTACTCTTATATTCTCTCGTCATTATCGTGTTTGTCAGATTTCTATGTAACATTATTTTTCTTATTTGGAAATATTGTATGTAGATCCAGAGGGGAAATATGAGGCATTGGATAAGTATGGTAACGATCTGACTGAACTTGCCAAGCGTGGGAAGCTTGATCCTGTCATAGGTCGAGATGATGAAATTCGTCGCTGTATCCAGATATTATCAAGGAGAACAAAAAACAATCCAGTTATTATTGGTGAACCTGGCGTGGGCAAAACTGCAATTGCTGAAGGGTTTGTCTAATATAATGCCATAGCAATTATTTGAAATGTGTTATACACAATATAACTTCTTGATGTTGTTATTTTTGTACTTTATGAGCATATTTTTGCTTTTGATTTTTAAAATTTTTTCATGTGTGTATGTTATTGTTGCGTGGGGCTAGTGATATCCTTCTTCTATTTGTCAGAACAAAATTTATCCAAAGCACTTTGAAATTCTTGGTTTATTCATGTCTTGTTTTTTGGCCGGTATGATTATCACTTCACAATAACCTTTGCTAATGGGTTGAAGTGTTCATTGTTTTGTCAGAGTAGGATGGTTTGAAAACCCTATAGTTTTTGCTCTCTGTGCCTTCTTATAACACATGCTTGCAGTTTCTTTCTTCAAGGGAGTTTAGTCAAGGTTTTGAATCAAGGCTAAAATCCTTAAACATGAAATAAGTACTGAGTTTTCTGATGTATGCATATTTTGTTTAATTGCAACGAGCTCTGGCAATTGAATGTGTGTATGGTGTTTAAGTAGAACAAGTTTTTAGAGTGGTGTCTATTTAACAAACTGCTCCAATTTTCAACAGTATTGAGAAAATGCAACAATTCAAATATAATGGGGAACCAGGATCGAAGTAGTAGGTTAGGAAGGATCTATTGATGGATTGGAGGCCATTATTATTAAGAGCACTTGTGATACAAATTAACTTGTATTTGTAATTTCTTCATTGATTCTGTATTAGAAATTACATGATGACAGATATTCATGGAAAATAACTGATGGTAGTGAAGAGTTATTTATCAAAATTATACGAAAATGGCAAGCATGCTGTCATTTGCATTTTAATATTCTCTGGCTCTGGGACAGCAAGTGCATTGCTGTTATGTATGGTTTTCATGTTCAGTGTTGTATTTAATTAGTTTTAGCAATTGGTGTTCTATCATTGTAAGTAATTGCCATCATGTAGCTTCTTAAATAAAACTAATGCAGTATTTCATCAATGGATCCTTCCTAATCCACTCGGATTTTGGTTTCCATCAAAATATGTGTTAAGATATATGGTGGCAGTAGCTTATATTTTTTATGCTGGGCTAAATATTCCCTTTGTTATATATGTTGTTTCTTTGTCGTAAACCTGCTCATTTTTTTTCAGATTAGCTCAACGAATAGTGCGTGGTGATGTTCCAGAGCCATTGATGAACAGAAAGGTTGAGCTCTTACTGTTTTTTCTTTTGATTGTAAACTTATAAGGTAAAATACGAGTTAAGTTTTTGGTTTGATGTGGTGTCAAGTCTCAATGATGGCTGATAATGTAAAAGCTTATGAAAAAGGTCTAATCAAGCTTCTAACACCACGTAGTGTTGTATTTTCCTGATACCCTGAAACTGATCTTTCTTACAATTATAAGATCCATTTTGTTCCTCTAACTTTTGCATTTCAAGACTTTAGCACAAAACTTAGATACTTATAAAAATGTAGAAATCTCCCCCTACCTCAAACACACACAAAGAGACAAAGAATTTTTTTTTTTGCTATGCTGAAATACAAAGCATGCTTCTTTCCTAATTTTGAAGTTATGACATTTTGGGTATTGAGGAGGAAATTGAGAGTGGAGACTTTTAATATTATATGCTTATATGACGACAAACCTAGATTAACCTTTATTTTTACTAACCATAATCCTAATTAAAAAAGGAAACAAAATTACGAGTTAAGGAAATAGGGAAACTAATCCTAAAGGATAATTGATATATGTTGAGCTATGAAAAAAAAAAATTAGAATATTCTCATACATTATAAAGTTTACAACCAAAAATAGACATTTAATTGTTTTGCAAAATATCATCTGAGAAGGCTGTCACTGTAATTAGTTGTCTTAAAAAATATTAATTATTTTATTTCTATTTGAGACATTGGAAGTCTCCTTAATCATTCTTGGGCTTTTATTGTTGTCTTGTAACATTGGAATTGGAACACATATTTTTATATAAAGTGCAGCTTCTTGGTGCTGTAAAGCTATTGCTAATCTGCCATACTCTAGGGTCCAATGACCTTCATATTACACTTTTCCTTCACATTTCCTTGGCAGGCAATGCAGTGCCGTAATTTTTGTGGTTTAAATTTGTATTAAAATTTGCTTTTATTCTTGTTGGTTTGTAGTTGATCTCCCTTGATATGGGTTCATTGCTTGCTGGGGCCAAGTATCGTGGAGATTTTGAAGAAAGGTTGAAAGCTGTCCTTAAGGAAGTTACAGCATCAAATGGGCAAATAATTTTGTTTATTGATGAAATTCATACTGTTGTAGGCGCAGGTTGGTTCCTTATTCTTGTTGCTCAAGCCATACAAGATATAAAATGGACACTAAGAATACTGTGTACTTTTTATTTGTTAGAGATTTCATATAACAATTCACATGCCTTGACCAAATAACTTAAATATTTAGGATAGTTGCTTCTCTACATGGTATCATAGCCTCTTTGGCTTAGTGGTTAAGAATTTGATCCTGCCTGGTCCTCATTTTATGTAAAATGTTGATTTTTTGTAGATAGGTGGATCTCTGCATACTGTCTTACTTAAGCTCAAAAGGCTCCTGCATGAGAGTGTCTTAGACATGTCGTATAAAATCAATTTTATGTTTCCACTGAACTTACGCTTCTTAGACAATCAGTTCAGGACACTATTTATAAGAACTCACCTCTAGTGCCCTCATCCCCCATCCCTAAAAGTCAGGAATATTTGTTATCAATTATTGGTTATAATCAATTATCGAACAACATAATTGATTGCTGCATTAAAAGCCAGTTAATCTGAAAATAATTTCTGCAGACTTGGGGGGAGGCAGGGAAATTGCTAATAGTATAAATCTACAGTCATACTGTGTATAGCAGGCCCTTTACTTGGTTGGACATCAATATTTACCCTTTCATCAAGCTTTTGCACGTATTGATAATATGCTTTCTTAGCCAGATTGGAGTGACATTCTGATTCATATACGGTCATCCACCTTATTTTTGTTCCAGCTCTTATATTCAACCAATTAGTAATATG